TGTGAAAAATCTGACCAATGTATCATCTTTCATGGTAAATAACAGAGGTAAACCAGAGGATGTGGAGAAAAATCCACGAAACCACGGGGAGAACATGCAAACTCTAAACATGCAGCAGGCGTCAGGGTCGGGGTCGGGATTGAACCCACAACATCCTCCATACCATGCAAGGAAGTTAACATCTCGCCACCGTGGCATTAGTACATTAACAGGGTTAATGCATCCGGGTAATTTTCGGCAGTGGTGGATCTCATTGCCTGTTAGAGATCCACATTAGAATGGATCGCAGTGCTCGGTGTGTTTGCCAACACTGATGTAAAGTGTGAGCTATTGCTCACCGATCTCGCAGAAGGTGCCTGTAAAGCCACTGCTACACTGGCATAAGAATTTGTTGTTTCGGTTTAGGCAGATTCCGTTGTTTTGACAAGGGTTGCTCAGGCATTCATTAACATCTGCAAAACACACAAAACATTTAATTTGTTAGACACAGGTAATTGATGCACGAGGGTGATTTTCAATTTTGTTGTGCTTCTAAATGTCTTAAACGTTTACGTTACATTCAGGTATACTTTTATTCCTTGTAATACAGTAATTGTTATTTTAAACTTCATCGCTCCCTGGTGTGTTTTTTGGCTTTACGTTGCATTCAATTGCGCTATTCTTACGTGCTTCGCGTCAAAATAATAGATTATATCGTCGGCTAAATTCCCTCTATGTCTTTTGTTTTCCCTGTCACTGTGTTGTTCTTGCGTTTGTCTCTCTGCTCTCTCTCTTCTTTCGCACAGTATCCTACGCTTCACCAAGTCAGACGACAGATTTAAACCTCAACCCCTGTAGGAAAAGCCACCAGGGCTGAATGATTTCTTAAATGTAAGTTCTGGCTAACCTGAAGTACTATGTTTCCCGACACAACTTTCAGTATTCACAGAGCCACATCGTGTGCATATATATGAGTCAGTTTATTTCGGTAAGGCCTATGAAGCTGAGAAGCTATTTTTCAATGGTGACCTGGCCAAAGAGGCAAGCAAGCTACACGGGGAGGGAAGGGTTTACATAGAACAAACGCTGGGGCAATATTATGAACACGACGAATCATTATTAATAAAATAATAAACGACCAGAACTATGTACGATGGAAATCTAGCAAGCAATCCAAAAAAAAACAACGAAGCATGACACGAGTAAGATTAACTCACATATGGCATTTCAAAGTAATACACCACTGATACAACCGCATATTTCTTTGATGTACTAAATAGGTCAACAAAGAACAATGACTTTCATATGAACACTTTGTGACGCTGTATAGCACACAATAGAAATCTATTTTCGAAATTTCCGTATTCCCCACACACCTGCGCATCTGTAGGCGGCATCTGGATCCACGTTGTAGCCAGAATAGCAGGAGCACTGGTACGTTCCAACCAAATTCGTGCATTCCTGGTCACACGGCTTCGCCTCACATTCATTGATATCTGTATACGGTGCATGAAAGATTAAAAAAAACAACAACCCACGCGTGATTTTACTGGAAAAAATTTAATTTAAGACATTGCTTTGAAAATGTATATGCATTGTTACAATACTCAATCTTTAAGGTGCATCGTTTGATTTACATAAATAGTGAAATATGGTACTTTGGTGGTTTTGCTATATATTTGAATCAATCAACTTATTTTTCACTTTCAGACATTAACAGATGGCTCTAAGCAAATAAAAATAACTTGATGTTCATAAGGGTGGTTAAGATGCAGACCAGTGGAACTGCTCGCTCACTCCACTGCTGCCAGAATGGCTCCCGCGAGAGGGAGCTCTGCAGAGGAGGTACACGTGTCCAACTCGTCGCCAAGACGTCTTGGAAGTGGTGGGATACCTACACTATACCCCACCACACGTGTCTCCTCTGATCGGGTTCACTAACTGTGGTGTCACCCACTTGTATACGTGTGCTGGGTGGACTAACTTTACACAATTCACGCCAATGTTGCAACAACTCTCGCGCCGGGAGATCGAATCGAACCTGGGCGACTGTCTTAGAGTCCATTGGGTAACGAATAATTTGCATCACCCCAGAAGAATCCTGTGACGTTCATACCGGAATATGATTGGCGTTGACAATCGTCAACTTACCTAGGCAGTTCTGCTGGGTCTGATCAAGGGCAAAGCCCTTGTTGCAGGAGCAGGTGGGCCTCTTCGTTATCTGGTCAATGAAGCACTTTCCATTGGTACAGGCCAGGGTACAGGAGACAATAGCTGTGATAATGGAATATACATGGACAAAACGACATGTTACATTTACGAACCTGGTTAGAAATTAAACGAATTTATTCAACGACAATATTAAGGGATGTTATTGACGAATGTGAGTTTCTTATTAAGATTAAATTACAGAAGTTACAATACAAGTAAACGGCTGTCTTCACAACCTCCCATTGAACACAATAAGTCACAAATTCATGAAATCATGGGATAAAGGACATTTGCATGTATAATATGGAATTTAAAGATTATCTACAATAAGTAAAAATTGTGTTAACATTAAATTAGTTTAAATTACAATGCATATACTCTATGTGCAATCTATTATTTTATCAAATCAAGTACAGAATAATTATTAAGTACAGTCGTGTATTTCCAGAGTGATAGGTCATCTGTGGATGGATTTAATTGCCCTGTGACGTGGATTTTTATTGAATTTTACGAGAAAATATTTTAAAACAATGCATATTTTTATTTTTACATTATTGTGTTTACATTATTATTCTACTGAATTCTCACACCAACATCACACTGTCATCGACTTTGCGAGAACACAGCACCGACCGATGGGTGAATGCAATGGTTTTCAGAATTTTTTCAAAAGATGTTTTTATCCTGGATGAATCCGATGAGCTATAAAGCTCTTTTTTCACCGATGTCCGGTATGGGCGGGTAAGAACATTACAACAAGACACAATTCGATCGGAGTGCAAAGTACAAGAATTTGTAAACAAATCACCCAAACACATACGAATAAAACTAAACCATCCCTATCCTACCAGGTAAATCCCACTGAGGCATTAACTCATTGTTCAAAAGCGACTTGGCCACAAATTATAGCTCAACAAAGTGACTTCTCATTTGGACATTTATGGCAGCAAGTCTAAACGTATGCTTATAAATGTGGAAGGAAAAATCAGATGACCCGGAGAAAAACTCTACGCGACAACGGGTAGAGACATAGAAACTCCAAATATACCGGTACATGTGTATGGGTCGGGATCGAGCCCTCAACCTCCTGCATACCAGGCGAGGAAGATACGAGCTCACCACCGTGGCGCCCCTTAAATAAATAAAGTCTATAACTTTAAATCTTGATTTAAAGCTTTCGTGATTGCAGGAATTCATATTCTTTGGTTCTTTCGGTAAAGTCACGTAGATAGGTTCAACGAAAATAAGATAAAATAACAAAAAACTACGACGTTTAGATTGCAACACAAGCGTTCGTCGTCGTAGTTTTTTGTTATTTTTTGTTCTTTTCTTTGAACCTATCTACGTAACTTTACCGAAAGACCCAAAGATTATATGTGACTTTAAATTGCATCTTCAATTACCAGGCTTTGGAAAGGCAGTAAACTAACGGCAAAAACAGTTCCAACAGATAACATCAAGACATCACTTAAAACCGTGTTTATGCCGCACAACATTTTGCAAAGGCGACACTAGAATAAAACAAAATACAACTCTTAAAAATGTAACTCCAAACATTTACACAACAAACGCCGAGTGCCCATGAAGTGCCATCACAACACTAAACAATATCATGGATATGTAATAAGACAAGCGTAATTTCCCGGACGTATAACTTATACAGTTTTCGTATGCAAAAAAAAAACCAGGCCAGTGGGAATACACAAGATTTTGGTGGTCCACATGTGTAAACTCGCCAAAAAGCAGGCCAGTGGGAATACACAAGATTTTGGTGGTCGACATGTGTAGACTCGCCACCTCTGAGGTGCCAAGGACATGACGTCTCACGAATTCAGAAAGAGGGGAGTACTACGTGCGAATTTCACTGTCTTGAGAGGGGTATTTTTATTGCGTAGCTACTGTTATTCATATATTTGTTGAGTTGTTTTTGTGTGTGTGTGTGTCGGGAGCGGTAGTGTAGAGGTTAGCATGCTGCGCTACGAACCTGGCGATCCCAGTTCGATTCTCGCTCACGGCCAACATCAGTGACGCTTATCTGAACCAGTCCTGGGCCTTCCCTAGGTCGATTCAGCCGAAAATTAGTACCTGGTGTGGTGTGTACAAATATTGCCACGCGAGAGACAAAGGCGGCCGAGCGTTGTGCTGGCCACCCACCCCCTCGTGTGCCATTCTGGTCTTCATAGGTGCTTGCTAACAGCACTTGCCCCAACAGTATGTGAAGGCTATACGGGAGATCTTGATCTGTTTTGTGTGCTTGTGCACCGCTGATAATGCAGCAGCAGCATCACCAAATTATCTAGTCAGGCCCCTGCAATGGTGGTATGCATATCACTCACGCTGACAACTTATGCCATCTTGCTGCATCTTGAAGCCACCGAAGCAGCTGCAGTTGTATCCCTGGCTGTTCTCAAAGAGGTTCAGCTCATTGCACACCTGAGCGCATTTGCTGGTCCCGTCGCTGCACTCGTCAGAGTCTAAGAGGGGAAACAATGTCGTCAGGCTTAACGGCAATCGACGAACATTAGCTCTGCATTGTGTATGCCCCAGTGTAAACGCGAGATATTTTTTTTAAAGTTAATAACAGACTTTATAGTTGCGCAAAACAACAGATGTCATCGAAAAGTGTCGCCCATTGAAGGCAAGAAGAGAATGTATGAACACTATCTACAAGAAATAAACGTCAACTGATCACAATTGGAGCAACCTGTCACATGTGTACCACGTGCATAATCAATAATACGTATTGCTCTTACTATATTCTAATTTTGATTCGAAGCTTTCGTGACTGCAGGAATCCATACTCTTTGGTTCTTTCGGTAAAGTCACGTAGGTAGAAAAATAATAGATCACGACGTTTCGATCGCAACACAAGCAATCGTTATCAGGTGGGACAACCACAGCAAGAAAACATTTCTGAAGCAGAATCAGATGGTGGAATTGTTGGCTAAAGTTGGTCGGATTGACAGATACACGGACGGATGTGATGGACAATATAAACAAATGGTTGTGCAGCAGCTATGCCATTCTTTGCTTCACGCCACTACTTGCGAGAGACCCTCCATGAGAGGGAGATAATGAAAAGAAGGTATTTTGGTCCGCTTCTCTTAAGTTGACCCAGACGTGTTGAGAGAGGTGGTGAGTACGGTGCTCCCACGTTGCCCCGCCACACGCGATCTGTAGTTGTAGTACCTATCTTACAAGGCTGGGTGCAAAAAGGCTGGGTGGATTTTAAGAAAGGTGCCCATTGTTTTAGCTGTCACGCAGGAATATTTTTTTTTATAAAAGGCAACCTCTGGTTGACCAGTTTATACTCGTATTTATAGGTATAATGTAATAAAAACATTGCGTCCCAGAATGATTTTCAGTTCACCATGAATAGGTTAACATTCCATGAATAGTTTAACATTAAATATGTGTAAAACCACACACTTAAGCAAATATGCCATTGAATTGCAGTATCCAAGGCAAGAGGATTAATGTTGTATTGCATGTGATACAGTACTGTATGTCACAATTGTACAGCATGCCATATAGTATGGTTTTTCTTTTTAAAGGGCTTTTCGCTATCAGGTTTCATGTTGACTCGCCATGCGTTGGCATCGGTACATCAGAATTAAACGTTTCATCTTCTACAATCACGCAATCATGCGGGTACCGACCTGTACTTTGCGTCACGGACACTCCTTCATCGGAGACATTTCCCTTGCCGATAGTTTTCACCGTGACGATGTACTGGACTCTGGGCCTCAAGCCAGCAAACTTGGCGGTGAGTGAGCCATTGTAGTTGATGGAAATGGAAGGAGAATCTATAGGAGCGATGAGCACCGTGTATTTCTCCACAGCTCCCAAAGCACTCAACCAGGTGACCTCCAGGGATGTGTTCGTCACTCCTCGATTCGTGAAAGTCAGGTTTCTTACCGAGCCGGGGACTAAAATTACGGCCGTAGACGACAGCGTTGTAAACCATGCACCGGATAATGTACTCATTGTGGACAATGAAAGATTAGTGGCCGACGGTAATGTCGTGGTGTTCGTTTGATGCTGTGGGGATGTTGAACCTGTAACAGGGGGTAGAATATGCAAAACAAGGCACAACATTCAGTTTAACTGCATTGCCATAACCATTATTTTATCATCATAAAAACACTTGTCAGATACAGGTGCCTAGACTACATCATGGATGACAGTGTTATTATTACGCCTTCCTGAAAAAAGTTTATATTTTAAAAGAAAGGAATTTCAACTTTTAAAAAATGAATGTGGCTCAGCATATTAAAATACAACGGTAATTATGTGAATGAAAAAATAGTGCGCGCGAGTGCTGTATTTAAGTATCAACATATATTATATGTTGGGATGATGCAATGCAGTAATTCTAATTAATTTAAAAAAAAGTTACATTTGATCTGGTGATGGGGGGGGGATCAACTTACCCGTTGTGTTTCCTGAGACGAGATTATACACTGAAGTTGACGACGTGGTTGTTGGAGAAGTTTTATTGGGAGACGGCGTAGCTGAAGTTACAACTGTTGTTGTCACCGATGTCACTGTTGTTGTCGCCGATGTCACTGTTGTGGAAGGTGTCATTGTGGAAAGTGTTGTCAATGGTGAGGATGCTGGTGGCAGCTGTGTGGAAGTTAGGGCACCAGTCATTGGTGAAGATGCTGGTGGCAGTTTTGTGGAATTCATGGCACCAGTCATTGGTGAGGATCCTGGTAGCAGCTGTGTGGAATTTATGGCACCAGTCATTGGCGAGGATGCTGGTGGCAGCTGCGTAGCATTGAGGGCACCAGTCATTGGTGAGGATGCTGGTGGCAGCCGTGTGGAATTTATGGCACCAGTCATTGGTGAAGATGCTGGTAGCAGCTGTGTGGCATTGAGGGCACCAGTCATTGGTGAGGATGGTAGTGGCAGCTGTGTGGAATTTATGGCACCAGTCATTGGTGAGGATTCTGGTGGCAGCTGTGTGGCATTGAGGGCACCAGTCATTGGTGAGGATGCTGGTGGCAGCTGTGTGGTATTAAGGGCAGCAGTCATTGGTGAGGATGCTGGTGGCAGCTGTGTAGAATTTATGGCACCAGTCATTGGTGAGGATGCTGGTGGCAGCTGTGTGGCATTGAGGGCACCAGTCATTGGTGAGGATCCTGGTAGCAGTTGTGTGGAATTGATGGCACCACTCATTGGTGAGGATGCTGGTGGCAGCTGTGTGGCATTGAGGGCACCAGTCATTGGTGAGGATGCTGGTGGCGGCTGTGTGGAATTTATGGCACCAGTCATTGGTGAGGATGCTGGTGGCACCTGTGTAGAATTCATGGCACCAGTCATTGGTGAGGATGCTGGTAGCAGCTGTGTGGAATTTAGGGTACCAGCCAAAGGTGAGGATGCTGGTGGCAGCTGTGTGGCATTGAGGGGACCAGTCATTGGTGAGGATGCTGGTGGCAGCTGTGTGGTATTAAGGGCAGCAGTCATTGGTGAGGATGCTGGTGGCAGCTGTGTAGAATTTACGGCACCAGTCATTGGTGAGGATGCTGGTGGCAGCTGTGTGGAATTGATGGCACCACTCATTGGTGAGGATGTTGGTGGCAGCTGTGTGGCATTGAGGGCACCAGTCATTGGTGAGGATGCTGGTGGCAGCTGTGTGGAATTTATGGCACCAGTCATTGGTGAGGATGCTCGTGGCAGCTGTGTAGAATTCATGGCACCAGTCATTGGTGAGGATGCTGGTGGCAACTGTGTGGCATTTAGGTCACCAGTCATTGGTGAGGATGCTGGTGGCAGTTGTGTGGCATTGAGGGCACCAGTCATTGGTGAGGATGCTGGTAGCAGCTGTGTGGAATTTAGGGTACCAGCCAAAGGTGAGGATGCTGGTGGCAGCTGTGTGGAATGTATGGCAGTAGTCAATGGTGATGATGCTGGTAGCAGCTGTGTAGAATTTATGGCATGTATCATTGGTGAGGATGCTGGTGGCAGCTGTGTGGCATTTAGAGCACCAGCCAAAGGTGAGGATGCTGGTGGATGCTGTGTGGAATTCATGGCATCTGTCATTGGTGGGGATGCTGGTGGCAGCTGAGTAGCATTAAGGGTAGCTGTAATTGGTGAGGACGCTGGTGGCAGTTGTGTGGAATTCATCGCACGAGTCATTGGTGAGGATGTTGGTGGCAGCTGTGTGGAATTTAGGGTACCAGCCAAAGGTGAGGATGCTGGTGGCAGCTGTGTGGAATTTATGGCACTAGTCAATGGTGATGATGCTGGTGGCAGCTGTGTAGAATTTAGGGCATCCAGCATTGGTGATGATGCTGGTGGCAGCTGTGTGGAATTTATGGCATCTGTCATTGGTGAGGATGCTGGTGGCATTTGTGTGGAATTCATCGCACCAGTCATTGGTGAGGATGCTGGTGGCAGCTGTGTGGAATTTAGGGCACCAGTCATTGGTGAGGATGCTGGTGGCAGCTGTGTGGAATTCATGTCACCAGTCATTGGTGAGGATGCTGGTGGCAGCTGTGTGGAATTTAGGGTACCAGCCAAAGGTGAGGATGCTGGTGGCAGCTGTGTGGAATTTATGGCACTAGTCAATGGTGATGATGCTGGTGGCAGCTCTGTAGAATTTAGGGCATCCAGCATTGGTGATGATGCTGGTGGCAGCTGTGTGGAATTTATGGCACTAGTCAATGGTGATGATGCTGGTGGCAGCTCTGTAGAATTTAGAGCACCAGTCATTGGTGATGATGCTGGTGGCAGCTGTGTGGCATTTAGGTCACCAGTCATTGGTGAGGATGCTCGTGGCAGCTGTGTGGCATGGAGGGCACCAGTCATTGGTGAGGATGCTGGTGGCGGCTGTGTGGAATTTATGGCATCAGTCATTGGCGAGGATGCAGGTGGCAGCTGTGTGGCATTTAGGTCACCAGTCATTGGTGAGGATGTTGGTAGCAGCTGTGTGGCATTTGGGGTACCAGCCAAAGGTGAGGATGCTGGTGGCAGCTCTGTGGAATTTATGGCAATAGTCAATGGTGATGATGCTGGTAGCAGCTGTGTAGAATTTATGGCATCTATCATTGGTGGCAATGCTGGTGGCAGCTGTGTGGCATTTAGAGCACCAGCCAAAGGTGAGGATGCTGGTGGAAGCTGTGTGGAATTCATGTCAGCAGTCATTGGTGAGGATGCTGGTGGCAGCTGAGTAGCATTTAGGGTAGCTTGTATTGGTGAGGACGCTGGTGGCAGTTGTGTGGAATTCATGTCACCAGTCATTGGTGAGGATGCTGGTGGCAGCTGTGTGGAATTTATGGCACTAGTCAATGGTGATGATGCTGGTGGCAGCTGTGTGGAATTTAGGGCATCTGTCATTGGTGAGGATGCTGGTGGCAGCTGAGTAGCATTTAGGGTAGCTGTCATTGGTGAGGACGCTGGTGGCAGTTGTGTGGAATTCATGGCACCAGTCATTGGTGAGGATACTGGTGGCAGCTGTGTGGAATTTAGGGCACCAGTCATTGGTGAGGATGCTGGTGGCAGCTGTGTAGAATTCATGTCACCAGTCATTGGTGAGGATGCTGGTGGCAGCTGTGTGGAATTTAGGGTACCAGCCAAAGGTGAGGATGCTGGTGGCAGCTGTGTGGAATGTATGGCACTAGTCAATGGTGATGATGCTGGTGGCAGCTGTGTAGAATTTAGGGCATCCAGCATTGGTGATGATGCTGGTGGCAGCTGTGTGGAATTTATGGCATCTGTCATTGGTGAGGATGCTGGTGGCATCTGTGTAAAGTTTAGGGCAACTGTCAATGGTGAGGATGCTATTGCTAGCAGTGTGGAATTGAGGTTAATTGTTAATGGTGAGGATACTGTTGGCAGCTCTGTGGAATTCAGAACATCTGTCAATGTTGAGGATGCTGCTGGAAGTTGCGTGGAATTTAGGGAACTCATGAATGGTGAGGATGTTGGTGGCACTTCTGTGGCATTTAGGGGATCTGTCATTGGTGTGGATGATGTTGGCAGCTGTGTGAAATTTAGGGCATCTGTCAGTGGTGAGGATGCTGTTGGCAGTTCTGTGGAATTCAGGGCATCTGTCAATGGTGAGGATACTGATACCTGCTGTGTGGAATTTTGTTCAATTGTTAATGGTGATGATGCTTTTGGCAGCTGTGTGGAATTTAGGTCATCTATCACTGGTGAGGATGCTGTTGGCAGTTCTGTGGAATTCAGGGCATCTTTCAATGGTGAGGATGCTGTTGCTAGCAGTGTGGAATTGAGGTCAATTGTTAATGGTGAGGATGCTGTTGGCAGTTCTGTGGAATTTAGGGCATCTGTCCCTGGTGAGGATGCTGTAAGCAGTTCTGTGGAATTCAGGGCATCTCTCAATGGTGAGGATGCTGTTGCTTGCAGTGTGGAATTGAGGTCAATTGTTAATGGTGAGGATGCTGTTGGCAGTTCTGTGGAATTCAGGGCATCTTTCAATGGTGAGGATGCTGTTGCTAGCAGTGTGGAATTGAGGTCAATTGTTAATGGTGAGGATGCTGTTGGCAGTTCTGTGGAATTTAGGGCATCTGTCCCTGGTGAGGATGCTGTAAGCAGTTCTGTGGAATTCAGGGCATCTCTCAATGGTGAGGATGCTGTTGCTTGCAGTGTGGAATTGAGGTCAATTGTTAATGGTGAGGATGCTGTTGGCAGTTCTGTGGAATTCAGGGCATCTTTCAATGGTGAGGATGCTGTTGCTAGCAGTGTGGAATTGAGGTCAATTGTTAATGGTGAGGATGCTGTTGGCAGTTCTGTGGAATTTAGGGCATCTGTCCCTGGTGAGGATGCTGTAAGCAGTTCTGTGGAATTCAGGGCATCTCTCAATGGTGAGGATGCTGTTGCTTGCAGTGTGGAATTGAGGTCAATTGTTAATGGTGAGGATGCTGTTGGCAGTTCTGTGGAATTCAGGGCATCTTTCAATGGTGAGGATGCTGTTGCTAGCAGTGTGGAATTGAGGTCAATTGTTAATGGTGAGGATGCTGTTGGCAGTTCTGTGGAATTTAGGGCATCTGTCCCTGGTGAGGATGCTGTAAGCAGTTCTGTGGAATTCAGGGCATCTCTCAATGGTGAGGATGCTGTTGCTTGCAGTGTGGAATTGAGGTCAATTGTTAATGGTGAGGATGCTGTTGGCAGTTCTGTGGAATTCAGGGCATCTTTCAATGGTGAGGATGCTGTTGCTAGCAGTGTGGAATTGAGGTCAATTGTTAATGGTGAGGATGCTGTTGGCAGTTCTGTGGAATTTAGGGCATCTGTCCCTGGTGAGGATGCTGTAAGCAGTTCTGTGGAATTCAGGGCATCTCTCAATGGTGAGGATGCTGTTGCTTGCAGTGTGGAATTGAGGTCAATTGTTAATGGTGAGGATGCTGTTGGCAGTTCTGTGGAATTTAGGGCATCTGTCCCTGGTGAGGATGCTGTAAGCAGTTCTGTGGAATTCAGGGCATCTCTCAATGTTGAGTATGCTGTTGCCAGCTGTGTTGAATTTAGATCAATTGTTAATGCTGAGGATTCTGTTGGCAGCTGTGTGGAATTAAATTCTGTCCATGGTGAGTATGTGTTTGTATATGCAGTAGAATTGTTTTCTTCCGTGGTTTGGATGGTTGCATTTTGCATACCTGTTGATGAAAAAGATGTTAAGCATGCGTATCATTATATAACATGGTTTATATCAAAACATTTGTTGCATGCAAATTCCTATTTTGTCAGTTACCCAGCTAGTTTGCAAGGGAGATATTTGGTGCATCGACACAGAACG